GTTGCTGTAGCCAGATTTACTCACAGAAAACGGATCACATCTTAATTGGTCAACATGTTCTTTCAGTTCTGCCCTGAGAAGTAACTTTAATTTTATTTTCTCGCCCCCATCACTTTACATCAGGCGCTTCTTACGTTTTGCTTGAGTGCTCCAAAAGCTTCCTAGCCTGGAGTCTCCATCCTAGGTCATTTTCCACATTCTGAAAAGAAACCCTTCTAGCTGTAAATCTGCTCAGGACATCTTATCGCCAAAGTTTTTTTTTTTTCAGTTGTCTGCAAGGGGAGTCTGGACCCTTGATGAACGGGACCCTTCCCGCTCCGTGACTCTCACACATGCTGCACGCCAGCACACTGGACTGCTTACAACCCATCAAGAGACATTTTTGTGCATCAGTACCCTTCCTCCGTGCCAGGTCTTTGTCACCAGCCCAGTCTTCTTACAAAATCCTTTCTAGAACCACAGGTCCCTTGCTCCTGCCAGACACCCTTGCCTCCATGTCCATCTGGATATTCTGTTGGTCTCTCTGTCTTCCATGAGCCTCAGAGTCCTTCAAAGCCAGGGGTTGTGATTTTTCTTCCCCCAGTGTCTACACAGGACCTAGCATATAGTGATGCTCAATAAATGTCTGGGAATTAAGTGAGAGACAAAAAAAAAAAAAAATGGTGCCCAACCAGGGATCTAGTAACAATTTCTTGTTTTTTCCCCCATATGTTTATTTACTTATTTTGAGAGAGACAGAGAGTACAAGCAGGGGTGGGGCGGAGAGAGGGAGAGAGGGAGAGAGAGAATCCCAAGCAGGCTCTGAGCCGTCAGCACAGAGCCCAATGTGGGGCTCGATCTCAAAACTGTGCAGTCGTGACCTGAGCCAAAACCAAGAGTCAGATGCTCAACCAGCTGAGCCTCCCAGGTGCCCCAACAATCTCCTGTTTTTAAGTGGAGCCAAAACTCAGCGAGTGGAAAATAGTGCTGGGCTTCAGAACCTGAACCAGTTTACAGTCATTTCCCCCAGAGACCTCCTGTATGAGTTCCACCTCCCCCACCCCACCCCCAGAGCGATAGGATCACTGAGATGCAGACTCACCTTGGGAGCCTCGGGCGTTCATCTGTATTGGCACCTTTGACCTGCCCCTCACTGCCCCCAAACACTGGGTTGCAGAGTAGCCTGGTCTTGAGAGGAGGCCTCTGACTTTGCGTAAATTCTAAATTACAGAGTAGCCTGGTCTTGAGAGGAGGCCTCTGACTTTGCGTAAATTCTAAATTACGGACCAGAGCGGGGAAGTTGCCACAAACCAAGGCCATTCCAGGATCCAGCTGCTCCAGGCATAAGAGCTTGCTTTCTTCTTTCCTGTTCCCCGCTGTGCTCCACACTCGCTCATTCTTTATGCTTTCTACCTCTCCTTGGGCTAGGCATCCTAGCAGCTTCACAGCAGTTGTTTCGCTATAGCCTCGGCTCTGCCCACTCCCCATCCTCCAGCTTCGGGCTGACCCCTCACCGCTAGCAGACCCTTGATTCTTCTGAGTTCAGGTCGCTGAAAGGGAGAATTGGATTGGCCTGACTCATCCCTTGCTGTGGAATTGATGGCCACAGATTGGCTGGCTGTTGACGGGATCACAGATTCAGTCCAATCACCCACGCCATGGTATTCCTGCCTCAGCCTAAGAGGGATACCCATCCAGAACCAACGTAGTGATGGACAGTGAGGTGTTCTCAACAAGAACGTAAACGCTCCACGAAAGGAGACATACTCCATCCTTCATACTCCAGTATCAGCGGATGCGTTGACCCCATCCCTTTTCAGAGGCCCGGCAAAATTCTATACACACTGGAAGACCATACTTCATTTGAGGGGCAAGGAGCATTTCTGAAAGCTGCGGAAGAGGGTAAAGGAGGAAGTAGCCCTGAATCCAAAAGTTATTGTCCTGAATTTCTTCAAGTTCCTGTTTAGGGCAGGTGTATTAATTTGATCCATTGACGGAATATCAGTACAAAGTTCATGGAGAGACCAGGGTTGTCTTATGTCTTATATCAGCTGTATCCGTTATAGTGTGAAGGATCCCAACCATTCAAAGGATGAAAACACAATTATGATTTTGAAGCCTTGATGAAGAAAATACATCAAAATTGGATCCTTTGTGGTCCCCCCCACAACTTTTACCGTATCCATTGTGGTTTTTTCTGCCCATTACCCTACTCAGGATGGGCTTTGAGAAATCATCAGTCATGTTGTAGGGTTGGTCTTGCATCCATCTGAGATGCGACTCAAACCAGACTCCTGTCCTGTTTATGATCCTTCCAAGGACAGTCTTTCTTTGCCTGTATTCATCTGAGCGCCTTTGTAGGAGACACATTCGATCGTGGCTGCTAATTCATTTCGGGTGTGCTTTTTTCTATCGCATGAAGACCCTGCTGTGGTGTATTTTATAAATGGACGTGTTGGAAATGGGGAGTTACTGAGTGTTATATCCGCCTAGGAGCCGCTCTGGCCTCAGCTCCCAAAGGCTTTCTGGAGAAGCAAGGGTGTGGTGTGTTCTCAGGAAGGAGAGAAACGTGTTGGAATGGTGCGCACACACACAATTTCTCTTTAGACTTTTCACGGAATTTAGAGCAGTAGCTTTGTAATATTTCACCAAAGTTTCATAAAATGATGATACCCCTACGAAGAGTTCTATCTACTTGGGTTGTTTTTTGTTTTTTTTTTTGTTTTTTAATTTTATTCTGCTCTATTAATGCTGGTTGACACACGAAGTGGTAGAATAAGTTAATTTCATCTTAGGACGGCTACTGTCTTCATCTGGCCGCTTTGGGTTTTCCACCAAGGTATCTTTTCCATTTCTCATGGGGGTTGGTGGCGATCTGACTTCCCCTTCCATACCTTATCTATTACTTCACATAGATGTTTTTATTGTTATTTGACAGTGTTAGAAGGCGGGGGAAGGACAGTAAAGTATCCCCCAGACTGGGAAGGCGCTTTGAGACTGGAAAACAAAGGAGGCCAGTCTGTAGTGTTTACGCAGAGTTTTGTTCAGGCGAACTTACTGACGGGGGGGCGGGGGGGTGGGTCCACGGTGACTGCTTCCTCTCCACAAGTCCAGGTTGTGTAGAGTGAGGGCACGTGAGGAAAGGTGCAGTCAGTGTCGTGAGATCAGAGGGTTCGCAGGCACCTGGCAGCTGACCTGTAATCACGTCTTGTGGTACCACCCGGGTGTCAGGAAAAGGAAAGATGTGTTCTCTCTAACAGATTCACGGGGGCCCAGAACAGGTCTCCCTCCCCCCCGCATCCTGGCCTTGGTGAGCATTTCTAAGGTGCATTTGTTAACCTCCGAGGGGCCCGAACGCATGACCCCAAGAGAGGTCGTCGGGTGAACATGAACAGGATGGAGGCCGGGACGGGTGGGACCTGCCAGTGCTCTCTCACACAGGCTGGGCCCTGATTCTTAAGGACTTTCACGTAGCTCTAATTTTTAGCAAAAGAGACTCTTAAAAAAGACATAATAAGGCACATGCAACCTTTTATGCCTGTCTGGTGAATTGATGAAACATATCTTCCTCGCGTGTTTCCTCTTTGATTTCTGAAATGTCAGAAGTTTTCCTCTCTTTAGTGGCCAGTGGCCCGGCTTTTCATCCTGCCTTCTTGAAAGGCGGCCGTCCGCAGGGTGGACTCCGTGGGCCCTGTGTTTGAAGTCGCACAGCTCCATCCAATGAGACGCAACTCTGGCCAAGGAGAGGGAGGCAGAGGCGCTCTGGCCGGATGTAGAACACGGGTGGGATGGGCACGGAGCCCCGACTTCTAGAAGGCTCTCCTTGTAGCTCCTGCATCTTGGCGGCATGTGGGAGGATTCCTCGGGCTGGTCAGTCCTTCCTGCACTCTTTCCTTGGTTTGCCCTGTGCTCCCCGGGCAGCCTCCATGCCTGGTTTCCGTCTCGTGTTTCCATCCCTCCGTTACTCCTCCTGTGACCACATTGCCCCGTTAAGGCTCCACTCCAAGTGCACACGTCTGCCTACACTTCTTTGTCCGTAATGAGCTCCGGAAATGAATGACCTGGTTGTGACCTCTCTCGGTGCATCGTGCAGAGAGAGACTCTGGTCCCCCTGATTTTGATAGAGGTGCTGCTCAGCTTTCACACACGTTCTGTCCCCAACACACTCATTATCCTGCCATCTTCTGTGTGCTGAGCACTGAGAATTCAGGGAGGAACAGACTTGACCTCCCAGAGCTCTCAGTCTGGCAATGAGACGAACCGTTTATTGAGAGCGAACTCTGTCCATTGGTTTGAGTTTATCTGATTTCATTCTGACAGCATTCTACAAGCCACCGACTACCGTGTCCTTTTCACAGCTGGAATCTGGAATCAGTGGCTTGCACAAAGCCAGCAAATGAACAGATGTGGGATTCACACACACAATTCTGGCCTCAAAGCCGTCCCTTAAACTGAGAGCGGAACGTCACATTGCCTTGGCCCTGCCGAGGAGAAACTCACGGTGGGGCTGGGCATGCCAGGGAAGTGGACGGTGACTCTATGAGGCAGCAAGGACTATACACAGACGTGAGACATGTAACGTGTGTGATGGGAGAGCAGTGGGGCAAAGGACAGAGTCCACGGGGAGGTAGGGGGTGGCATTTGAGCCTGGCGTTTAAGGAGAGGAGGGTGAGGGGTAGAGCTGGCACCCGTGCCCGGGTGGAGGACGTGGTTTCTTTGTCCTTTGTTAATGTCCTTGCTTTGATGATGCCTTCCGAGAGAAAGTACCAGGTGTCTTAGCTTGCCATTGTTGACATGTCTCTCCAATTTTATGTGGCCCACTTGAATGTCACTGACACCCATCCCCAAAGTCAACTCAGAGGTGTTTGTGCAAAGTGTTGGACAACAGGGATTTCATTGGCTCATCCTTTTCTGGAAACCTTCTGCACGGGTCTCCTAATTTATTTATTTAGTGTTGGAAATGAAGCACGAGCCCTGAAAGGTCTGGGGAGCAGGGACATTTTTACATCAGACAAGTTCTCCCATTCCTCCCAAAGAGCCAGGCCCAGGCCAGGAGGCAGGGAGGTGAGCAGAGGTTCCGGGAAACCAGGCAGGATGTGAAACCCACACCAGGATCATCCAGGGGCCTCCTTTGGGTATCTCTTTCCTGAAACAACACTGAAGACAGTGTGCGGGCAGAAATACCTGAGTGGCCATATGTTCCCCCAGCAACACGATAGCTTGTTCCACAGCTGGCGCCAGACTAGGGCTGCGTGAACAGCCCCAGAAATTTCAGCGGGGGTCATTAGAAACCATAAACAAGGCATCTGTCGAGCCGCCGTTGCCAAGGTCATCCTGGCACACGAGGTGCCTGAGAAGACACAGGCCGTGCTGAGCATCACCGGCCAGCGCGTGTGGTCCACCTGCCGGGTTCCAGAGCGCCCTGGCTCTGCGGCTGAGTTTAAAGCCGTGGGATGGTTCAGGGGAGGCGTGACGGGCAAGGCAACTTGAATGAAATTAAGCTACTTTGGGATGAAACATGGAAAGTTTAAAGCAGAGTTTCCCAAACATCACACCCTGAGTGCATTGTTGAACTGAGGCTGCACCGATAAGGGTGAGGAAAGGAAGGGGCAGGGGAGGGAAGAGACGGAAAAGAAACGTGCCATCTTGGAGAAAAACAAAGCCTATAGGTTGAAAGGATTTAGAGGACAACATGGCACATAATAAGTAAATTCTGTGCATTTAAAAAAAGTAAACAAATGAGAGCCAGGGTGCGGACATAAATGTGAGCTGGTTTAAAAGCCCTTTCGCATGATAGTGGTTTTCAGAAACTGGATGGCCAACCTTGGAACATCTACCTGGACTCACAGCGTGGAACCTTCCAGCTGGCAGGTAGCTTCGGGAACACGTAATTTGGAGAGTGTGGTGCTCCTGCCCGGCGGGGAGGCTCCAGGGTGGGCTCACCCCGGGCGCAGTAGTCAGAGCACATTCCGCGCGGCCTTGGCCAAACGGTCCTTCCCCTGCAGCCTGGCTCCTTACCTGTCATTAAGGAATGAAGGCGCCGTTGTGAGGGTCACATCCCATGGTACAGGTGACCACGCAGGGTGACAGAGCATTTTTGTTTGGACTTTCTCCATCTTGTTCACAGGTGAGGGGACTGAGAGGTGCGGAGGGAAGTCTGTGGCACGTTGTCATCCGCGGGTCAAGCAAAACCCACCCTCTTGCTTCCTTCTTCCTTCTTTTCCTTTTCTCCATGCTTCCTCCCCCCCTTTCTGCCTCCCTTCTGTCCTTTCTTTTTCCCGACTGAGCTTGTCATCTACTCTCTTCCCTCCCTGCCATCAGCAAGCCTTATGTTTTGTTTGATGGGCAACTTGTAGTTTGTATGTGTTTTTGCAAAACACATGTTTTGTAGGAATGCATTTTTTATTTGTTATAAGGTTTTGGTTTATTTATACATGCATACATCTGTTTTGTGTACATCTATGTTTAGGTAAATGTATACTCACACATGTATGTCTACATGTGTAAATATGGGTATTTCTGACTTTTTTGCCTTAAGCACTGCATTTACCATCCACCCGTGCGACTCTGTGTAGACACATTATCTTGCTTCTGATCACTGCTTAGCATTGCCTGGAGTGCATCCAGTAAATTCTACATAGCCCCTCACACGAGTCGGACACCTCTACTCCCTGCTGCCTTTCTCCTTGTACTTCCTAAGGCAGGACCAAAAGGCATTTATCTGCTACAAGTTTCCCTCTCCTGTGAGGCCATGAAGACAGATTTCCTGACTTAGCACATAATAATTTCTCAGTAAACACAGAGCTGTTGACTTCCCAGGCAGCTGGAGACAGTGGCCTCAGTCCCCAGGAAGAGCGCTTAGCCTGACCTTATCTTGTAAAGGTTTCTGATCAGCGAGGGGAGCGTCTTTTAGGGAGAAAAGAAGTGAAGATCATTCAGATATGATATGAGGTTATCACTGGACTCTTTGGACTCTGCCACCTTATTAATTTATCCAAACAAATATTTTTGAGCACTTACCGTAAGTGATGGCGGTATGGATTTGGCAGACCACTTGAATGCTTTCAGCATTCCTCAAATGCATAGGAGCCTCCTGCTTCTGGGGCACCGAACCCTGTCCCGTGAAAGCGTTGTGCATCTGGAGAGGGTGCTGTAGGATGTGCACTGGGGGTGTGGTGGGGACAGTCGGCTCCACAAGACGGGAGATGGGCTCTGACGGGCCGGTGGGCGGTGAGCTGAGGCCAACAGTGAAACACGTTAGGCTTCTCCTATCATCTTTCCTTTCTGGGGGTTGTGGAGCTGGTCTGCTTTGATCCTGGAAGGTTTTTTCCTGTTGAATTTGGGATTCTGAATGGATCCACACACCTTTCGTTGACGTGCAACGGAGTTACTGCGGGCCAGGGATCATACTAGCTAGTATGTAAGCAAATGGGCGCAGCTGTATTCCAATAAAACTGTACTTAAAGCACAGGAAGTGGACTGCATTAGGCCCACGGGCCATAGCATGCGGGCCCTGATTTAGAGGCTCACCCATTTGCTACCTCTAGTACCCATCTTTGCTATGTAGAATGAGACAGATCTGTAAGTGTTCCTTCCTTATTTCATTGGCTGTAATTCTATGGGGACACTCTTAGCGCAACTATTAGGAGGAAAACAGAGAAGACAGAAGAGGAATTTGTACTGTGTTGACTTGAATTCAGAACACCTAAAGTAACAGTGACTTACCCAAGAGAGAAGTCCATTTGTCTTTCCTGTATATAAGTTTTGGAGGTAAGCAGCCAGGGACGCTATGGCTATTCCTTCTCACAAGGTCCTTGGGTCTCTGGGCGCCTTCCCAAGGGTTTATCCTACCAATGGTCTCGATCTCATGGCTCAAGACTGTGGTAAGCATTCCAGGTAGAAAGGTGGGGAAGGGAAGGAGAAGAGTAAATTGAGAATATTAAGATACTACTATCTATCACTTCTACTTATTGCCTGTCACCGTTAATTTTATGAACCAACGTGCCTGGGTCATGGGACGCAGTTTTTGGTCAAACTAGGTATCGCTATGGTTTTTGTTTTCTTTCCTTTTTTTCTTTTTAAATTGGTTTTGTGTCTGTTTTTCTGAATGTGATTAACATTTAAAGCAGTAGACTTTGAGTAAAGCAGATTACCCTCCATGATGTGGGTGGGCCTTATCCAATCAGTTGAAGTCATTAAGAAAAAGACAGACCTCCCCCGAGGAAGAGGGAATTCTACCTCCAGATGGCCTTTGACTCAGGCTGCTCTTTCCTGGGTTTCCAGCCGTTGGCCTGTTCTGCAAACTTCAGATGTGCAAGCCCCCACACTGAGTGAGCCAATTCCTTAATACATAAATAATGTAAATATTATTTATAGTATTAATTATTAATATATTAATTATATATAAATAAGACAAATATATAAGTTTTGTATTATATATATTATATATGTATATATATTATATATAAAATATAAGTTTATATAAATTTATATATATAAAATATAAATTTATATAATTTTATATATATATATAAACCCTACTGGTCTTTTTATCTAGAGAAACCCAGAACCCAGTCTTTAGGAAACTTATCCACATTCTCCTTCTCCTTGGTAATGCTCAGTATTTACTTTTTATTTATTTACCTCCAAATTGCTTCTTTGGATCTCAGCCTGGCTCTCCAGGGAATCTTGCCTTGTTGCCCGTATTTTTTATTTTCAGGGAACTGTACGTTAGAAGTAGCTTCTCTTGCAGATGGTTAATGCTGCAAAGTTCAGAATCTTCCCAGATTCTAAAGACATCCTGATCCCCACCTTACAGCAGCGTGTAGGCCAGTGCGTCTGTTCCAGTGGGTGGGTTTGCCGTCCACACATAGTAGAGGCTCGGTAAAGCCTTGCAGATCCGATGTTCTTGACGCAAAGCTGTTGTGGCTGATGGGCTCTGGGCCAAGGCGAGCGGAAATCCGAGGAGTGGGAGCTCACATCAAGCTGCAGGGGATCCTGGCCTGCGAGTCTGCAAACAAAGTTAAGTAGCTGAGCCTGTGCCAGCGCCCCAGCCGGACACACCCGGGGCGGGGAGAGGAGGAGGCGAAATCGGTGTGCGCCCGCGTGAAGCAGCCTCTCGCCAGATGCACCTGCAAAGGGCTGATCGGGCTCGGGTCCGTTCGGTGAGGCTGATTGCAGACACGAGAGATTTCCAGCAGCTCCGGGCAGCAGGGTGGGTGGGCACGGAGGGAGTAACACGGCAGGACCGGCAGCTGGTCGAGTCCCCATTGGCTGCCAGGCCTGGCGTGTGTTCCGCCAGGCTCCAGGGAAGAGTCGGCTTGGCCGAGAACAGGCGCCGGCCTAGTCCTGGCTGGGTGCAGCCTGACCTCCCAAAGCCCGAGATGCTCCTCGTAAGCTCTTGCGTGGCTTGAAGTGGGATCTTTCTCGACACCAAAGCAGGGGGGAGTCGCCCAGAGTAAGGCCTTAGCGAGACCCATTTAGCGACTCAGCAGGAGCTGGGGCGATCAGAAGCCTTCCTCTCCTTTGGAGAGTTTCGGGAAGCCGCTCCTGCCCGAGCACTCGGCAGGTGTTTGAAGAGGCGCGGGGAGCGTGTGCGCGTGCACGCGGTATGCATGCGCAGCCACGGGCTTTGATGGAACAGAACTGGATCTAAATGCCAACCCTGCCACGTACTGCTGCCTACATGATTTGGGAGGAACGTAGTAATCATTTGAAGCCTCCATTTCCTCATACGTAAAAAAGGAGCTAATAGTGTTACAATCGTGTCCCCCTCCATCCGTGTGTTCATCCCTAACAGGCAGGACCTCAGAACGTGTTTGGAGGTGGGGTCTTTGAAGAGGTGAGCAAGGTACAGTGGGGTCACTGGGTGGGCCTGAAGCCATTCTGACTCGTGTCCTTATAAGAAGAGGAGATTTAGACACAGACACACACACAGAGGGACCACGTGAGGGCACGGGCCAAAGGGCCATCTATAAGCCAAGGAGGGAGGCCTCAGGAGGAACCAATGCCTTGACCTTGGACTTCTGGCATCCAGAAATGAGAGAATAAATCTCTGCTGTGGAAGCCCTCCATCCATCGTGCTCTGTTGTGGTCCTAGCAAACTAAAGCAGAGATTTTTTAAGGGTTAATGAAGATTATATATATATAAAATCCTCAGGGTCATTCCTGGCACATAGACTATTTACATATTTTTTTTACGTTTATTTATTTTTGAGAGACAGGGAGAGACAGAGCACAGGCGGAGGAGGGGCTCAGAGAGAGGGAGACACAGAATCCGAAGCAGGCTCCAGGCTCCGAGCTGTCTGCACGTAGCCCGACGCGGGGCTTGAACCCACGGACCATGATCATGACCTGAGCCGAAGTCAGACGCCCAACCCACTGAGCCACCCAGGCGCCCCTAGACTATTTAAACGTTTTTAATAGTCTATTCAGGCATTCAAGGCAGTGCAGTATGGGGGTCCAGAACCTGAACTGCCGAGGTTCACATTCTGGCTTGGTTCCTTGCTCTCTGGGTAACCGTGGGTTTCAGATTTCAATTCTCGAAATATCAATTTCCTTTTATAAAGTAGGGGAAGCAGGGGTTCCCCTGCTTGGGGGACATACCGCGTTGAGCACAGTACCACATGCTGCTGTCATTGTTAGCGGGGGCAGGTAAGCACTGTCCCCTTGCTGAGTATGTGTGACCTCAAGTAAACCTTCATCGAGGAAAGCACAGGGAAGGAGTTTGGAGGATGCGGTTTTGGGGGGCGCCCCTGTTCCTGCTTGAGTCACCCTGACTCTTCTCCGAGGTGTCCTTTCCACAGTCTCTAGAATTTGGAAGCCATGGTATTTATTCCTGGCGCTTTCCAGAAATGTGTCTATAAATTCCTTTTGTTGAGGGGTGGGGTCTGCACCCCCCCCCCCCCGGTATTCGCTGGTTGATAGCTTTCTCTCTGATGGAGCAGTTTATTTTAATTTATTTTTTAACATTTTTAATGTTTATTTATTTTTGAGAGAGAGACAGAGCATGAGCAGGGGAGGGGCAGAGAGAGAGGGAGACACAGAATTGGAAGCAGGACCCAGGCTCCTAGCTGTCAGCACAGAGCCGGACGCGGGGCTCGAGCTCACGAACCGTGAGATCATGACTTGAGCAGAAGCCGGATGCTTAACCGATGGACCCACCCAGGCGCCCCTCTGAGGGAGGAGTTCAGAAGGCAGCGCTGATAATGCCCAGGAGAATCTGATTGGATTCCCCCTGGAGATGGCTCCCCAGATCTGGAGTGAGGCGCACCCACTTGCAGCTGAAGGATTAACGTGGGCACCACGGTGCTTGTGCCCCGGAGGGATAATGATGAATGTTTAAGTGGTGATAAAATAAATGCAGCCCTTCCTCCCTGGTTTTAAGATTGCTCTTGTGGTAAGAACATTTAACACGAGATCGACTCCTAACAGACTGAGTGAGCCGTGCAGCGTTGTCTTCTACGGGCCCGGTGTCATATGCTCCTCTCCAGAACTTCTCCGTCGCTCCTAACAGACGTTTCATCCGCATCCACTCCTGTTTCCCTGCCTCGGGCCTGGCCATCACCATCCTCTCCTCTGCTCCCAGGAGTTTGGCATCTCCTCTAAGTGGGATCACGCAGTATTTCTCCTGCGTGGCTCACTCAAGAGGAAGGCCGTCCAGGTTCATCCGTGTTGTCGCGTTTGCTTGGCGGGAGAACCCGACCTTTCTCTTTTAAAAGCAGTCACGTCGAGTGTGCAGAAAAGTCAGCCACCTGGGGGACATGGCGCCAGAAAATCCACGGAGAGGGTGTGAGTGGCACGACCTGGCCTGGCCTGGCCGTCCACTGGTGATTCTCAGACCTTTCTACCCGGCGGCTCCTGAGAACAGGGGTGATGAACGGGGGTCGTGGTGGGTGGGAGGGCTGGCCAGGCGAGCGCTCACGTGACCTCACGATCTGAAGTCAGCCGGAGACCCCTTTCGGGGATCAGGTATAATCCCGCAAACGTGGGGAACTGTCGTTAACAGCCACATTCATTTTAGATGTAGGGTAATACGGAGGGTCTTGGCTGAGAAGTGCAAAGGAAACACCCGAGGGGCCTCCCGCCCTTCCCTACCACCAGCACCCAGCACCCCGGGCTACCACCTGTCCTGCTGGTGGTCCTGGCCTCCCGGGGTTAGCCACAGCTCCTCTCAGATGCTGGGGTAGGATTTGAGCCCCCTCAGGAGTTTCATTCGGGAGGAAACAGGAGGACAGACCAGCCCTGAGGTACTCGGGAATAAGACCGAGATAGTGCCCGGGGTATTTTGCAGCCGAGGCCGCCGTGGTCCAGGCCTGGCCAGTCGCTTCCCTTGCCCCCGAGTCCCCCAGGTCCCTGTGGTCCAGGCACGTGGCAGGTAACGTGGGTAGCAGCTGCTCGCCTCACTGTTCAGCCCTTCTTCCTGGGTCTTCGCGGCTGGGGTCCCAAGGGCGGGTTTGCAGTGACTCCCTGAGGCCTAGGGGTGTGACCGCACGGGGCCATCCATGGATGAGCCTGGGGCCGTATGAAGGTCCCCCTGAGAGTCTGCGTGGCTTGGCACAATCCTCGCGGCCGGGAGTGGTAGTAATTCGTGTGCAGACCCCCGGTAGTGGGGCCACACAGAGGAGGACGCCACGGATCCACGACTTTGCTGTTCCCACCCTGTCCCGTGGGGAGGCCTGGACCAAAAGCAACACACACTAACCAGACCCCTATTGTGTGACCAGCGGTTTACGTGGGGTTTTCCTTTTTTTTTAATTTATTCTCGGACAAACCACGCAAACTGCAGCTGCCTAGCTCGATGTCTTAGAATCGATGCCAAGCAAACACTTCCCCCAGAACGAAGTTCAGGCTGTGGCAGAGGTGGCCAGGCAACTCCGCCGTGATCTAGATTCATCCGTCATCTGTGAAGAAGGACCCAGTGCGTCGGATCTTGCAAGCGTGTTTGCTTTTGGAAAATGACTGGTGGTCAGGGGCACTGGGAAGGACCTGAACAAGGGAAAGTCTGCCATTTTACAGCTTTTCAAGGGAAACGGATCTACTCTGCCTTTCTCTCTGGAAGGAAGGATGCGCGGCCAGCCAGAAGGACTTTCTTCTTGGGCGTGTTTGTTGGTGCCGCCTGGAGGGGTGGCTTCCCGTGCCATGGGGGCCTGCGGCAGCCTGAAGCTAGGAGTTAGGGAAGTGTTCACAGAGGGCACTGTTCACACACACAAGGGCAGCAGAAGGCCCCCGTGCACCGAGTTGGTCTGTGTTTCTGGAAGGCCAGGAGGCACTCCCCCCTGCAAACTAGTGGCTAATCAAGCTTTACTCAGAGCTCCTCAGCTCTGCACACCTTGTGTCTCTCCTCTCCCAGCCAACTCGTCCCTCCCCTCCCCGGGGGTAGGGGTCCGGGGGCTGCAGCAGCAGGACCCACAGTCAGTGCTCCTAGAAACCAGGCAGGGCCAACACCATGGCCATCTCTGTCCTGCCTTCTCCTTGAGCTCAGGACTCAGCAGGGAGCCTTGCTCCTATAAGGTCACCCCAGATGCTTTTTTTCCTTTTTTTTTTTTTTTTTTTTTCTTTTAACTGACAGACACCCTTGAGGTTCTGGTTGATTTTCAAAGAGAAACAGGAGACTAAGTAAAAAGGAGAAACCTAGGAAGTTTTCTGACCGTGAAGGAAAATGAAGGGCCCCCTTTCCACATCTAGCATTTTAGCAGAACCCACTGGGCAAACAGAAAAGATGCCACTCCTTGGAGCCCACTGCCCATCTGCCTCCTCAAACGCGCCGGGCACTTGGCACAAAGGAGAGACAAAGACCTTCTCCCTCGTGCCCCCTCCGTGCCCCCCCTCCCCCGTCAGGGTGTGACCTGCCTGTCTGGGAGCACTGCTGTGGGGGCACAGGCTCGGCCACCCCCAGGCCTGGCAGTGAGCGCGGTGACAGTGCCCGGGGCCAGGGCACCGCGCCCCCGCCTGGGTCCCCCTCCCCAGCCCCTTCTTCCCACCCTGACGCCCCTTTACCCCTGGGGCCCCCTCTCCACTTTCCTTGCCCCTCTCCTCCCGGGGCACCCCCTCCTCACCCCCTAAGCTCCCTCTCCAGTCTACTCGCCCCGCTCCTCCCGGGGCTCCTTTCCTCCCTCCCCCACCCTGCGCCCCTTCCCCAGTCTCCCTTTCCTCCCCAGAGCTCCCTTTTTCCCACCCCCACCGCGCCCCCTCCCCCTCTCAGCTCCCTCCCTGGCGCCCCTCCCCACCCCTGCCGCCCCCTCTCCAATCTACTCACCGGGCTCCTCCCCGGGCTCCCCTCCTCCCTCCCCCCCCGCCCCCCCCCCCCAACCTCCGCCTTCCTCCCCCGGAGCCCCCTCCTCCCGGCGCTCTCGGTCCCGGCCCCCTCCCCGCCCCCAGGCCCCCTCCCCAGCCGAGCCGTGGCGGAGCATGCGCCATGCGCAGCGGGAGGCGGGAGGCGGGAGGCGGGCGGGAGCAGCGCGCATCACTCGGGTCCCCTTCCTGCACCGCGCCGCCACTTGCCGGTTGCTAAGCAGTTACCATTGTTTCTGTGGCGATTGCGGAGGCTGTTGCTAATTGGAGAAGCCCCGCTGAGCCGCAGCATCTCCCCTGTTCGGATCCGCTCTCTGCTCCTTGCATTTAAAGAGAAAACTAGGCTGGTCTACCCACTCGCCCTCCCCCACCCGCCCCAAAATAGCCGTGTGGTTTCGGAAGCATGGACTAAATCACACCCCTCCCCGCCGATTGGACTCTGGTGGCTCGGAACTCGCCGTCAGATCGCACCTGCCCCTGTGCCGGTGTGCGCCCTGGACGGGGGACCATGACTACAGCCAAGGAGACCAATGCTTCAGGGAAATCCGTGCAGCAGCAGGAACAGGTAATGCTGCTTTCTGGAGTGTGCGTGCGCGGGAGGGGGGGAACCTGTGCTTCTTGAATGAGCTTATATTGGAGATGACCGCCCTCACCTGAGCAAGAGGCTGGAGGTGAAGCCAGCGCCGAGTGAGCCTCGCTGGGGTCTGCCTCCCTGGCTCCTGAGTGCTATTTTTGAAAGATCCCCGGGTCTATCAATAATGCACAGCCACAGGGAGCAAGCATCTGGCGGCTTAAACTTGATGCCCGGGGACCTTTGGACAAAGGCCTGTCTCCTGCACAGCTGCCTAATTATGCATTTGTCAGTGGTCACTACTTTGTAATGGGGGGGGGGGGGGTGGGGGTGAGACCCCCCCCCCCCCAAATTTCAGTGTATTCTGACCCTCCAGCAGGACTTTGGTTTGGTTCTATCACAAGTCAAGAGGACAGAGGAGCTCGGTTTAAAGGACTTTTCTTTTGAGACCCGTGTCCCTTTTCCTCCTTAAGTATTTCTTGAAGGGGTGAGCAGATTGCTGTTCATCCTGGGCATGTAGAGAGTGCAGCCTGTGCCCGCTAGGGAGGCTGAAGGGTGCCCAGCTGGGACCTAGTGGGACCCCCAGGTGAGAAGGAGCAGGGCTCCCAGTGCTGGCCAAGGATGGCCAGGAATGCACTGGTGTCCCCATATGGCAGAGGATGGCCACTCCCCCCTGCCCTGAAGAGGCTCGCCATCTGCAGAGGCTCCCGGTCTCCGGAGTAAAGGGGAACCTGCACGCTGTGTCTTGCCACTCATGTAGATATTGCATCTCCCTTCTCGAAGATCGTGAGGGCTCTTATCTTTTAATCACTGCTTAGTTCTCCTCAGGCAGATCATTAAAATAGATCCTGGGAGACACCAGTAGATTCACAGAGCAGTTTGCTCAAGCTTGGTAAGTCAGCAGCGTAAGCTGATTTCCCGTATTTATTTTAGGGGTGTTGTTAGCTCCTGCTTGCTAGGATTGGGGCCAAGGAAGGAGACCCCACTGGAGTTCAGGAAAGCAGAGAGCCTCTTTGGGGACAGTGTGTGATAGTCTCATCATGACTATTCAGAGGCGGTATGGAGATAACTTCGGATCTATATTTTTGGGGTCGTTTCCTCAAAACCCATGTTTTGATTTAAAAAAAAAAAAAAGAGACCACCTCAGTAGTGGTATCATCATCATTACCGTCATCTGGAGAACTTAAACACAATTTTATTTCTTCTGGGAAGAAGACTGTGTAAATCCCGAAGTGTAAGAATCACGTTCGGTGGGAGAGCTCCTGTGAAGGTTAATGATCACTGTAGCATGAACGCCAGGAGGTTGACACCAACCCAACCAACCCCTCCTCCTTTTGAGTCATTCTACACAATACTTGTTCCAGAAAGAAGTCTGTCCACCCTCAATTAGCATCCCGTGACTAACTGGGCTTCCTTTGATTACAGCGTTCCTCACTAGGCATAAACCAAATGTGCCCTGGGCATGCAGGCTCCAGAGAGGACTTGGGTAGCCTTTCTGACCATGGGACTGTGGTAATAATTATGGAGAAAGCACATTGCTCCTAGGGCTGAGCCCAAAGGCGGGCTCTCAGAAGCCCTGTCCGTGTTACGTGGAAGAAGGCATGTGCACCTGTACAATGTCACTCTCATTTTCCCTAATACCTCCACATGTCAGGAGAGTGGAAATAGTTCATTGGGGTGCGGGTTTTGGAGGGTGGGCAAGGTCTTGTTTGATTTTGTGCCTTTTGATCATTGGAAACCCCACATCCTTGTACCTGGGGCCATGGTGGAAGCTGTGGTTGGGCAGAGTGCTGAGGACAGAGGCGGCTGTGACCGCAGGGAGTGGTCAGGAGGTCCCCCTCCATTCTCGGTGGCATCTTCTTGACCCTCAGAAGGACACAGTGCCCAGCCTGTGAGGCAGAACACATTGAGGGTCAGCGGCAGGACCAGGGTGGGAGAAGTAAGACAGGATGGAGAAAAGATCTCATGTCTAAAATTAATGCACCTTTAGGGGACGTTGGCTTAAATCTTACCAAAGTGCTCAAAACACAAAGAGGTAAATAAAATCCTTAGTCATGAAGACTGTTTCCTCTTCCTCCACCGTTTGTCAATTTTTAAAAGACATTTAAACTCTATTCTGTGTGCTCAGACTGCAGAGCTCTGAATGAGTTCTCCCATTCTTTATTGAGGGGATAGCCCCATCCCCAGGTGGCTGGGGGTTAATAGGGAGGCCCGGACAGACAGACAACATTTTTTACAAGACAGAGAAAGAGAAATGGATGCTGGTTTGTGGTTTGGTTTGCTTTGGGTTTTAGGTTGGGAGTCGTTTAATCGTCCTGCCAAACTTTGGGGCCCTGACACCTTACCTCTTATATTGGGAGGCATTCATCTGAGGATTTGGATTTTCTATAGCCTGATATGTATGTCCTATACTCTTTAAAATTCGGTTAGGGGCACCTGGGTGGCTCTGTCGGTTAAGCTCCTGACTTTGGTTCAGGTCTCGATCTTGCAGTTCATGAGTTCGAGCCCCACGTTGGGCTACATGCTGGCAGCTCAGAGCCTGGAGCCTGCGTCGGATTCTGTGTCTTCCTGTCTCTCTGCCCCTCCCCTGCTCGCACTCCGTCTTTCAAAAATAATAAACATTGAAAAATAATAATAGAATAAAATTTTGTTATTACAATAGACTAATAGTTCTTAGACTAACAGAGGTATGGTACAGTGTCTTACCTGCCTTGGTAGTCAGAAGCCAGGCATGTGGGTGGCTGCAGGAAATGACTTTGTATGCTGAGGGTAAGTAGAAATTAATGAACGATAAATCTAGGAGAAGATATGAAACCAAATGATTTGACCTATTCATTAGAGATTGCCATTTCCCTCCTTCCTTTTTCTTGCTAAAATATGTACTAAGAGTAGAGGAATGTGTGGAGTTGTTTTTTTAAGATGCTGTGTAAACACACTGGAATAAAATGGAGAATAGACTTCTAGAAGACCATTTCCCTTTCTCTTTGGATATGCCAGTATTTATTTTCGAATAAAGTATTAATAGTCTAGAGGTGTTTGGAAACAAAATATTCAGAAAGCTGAATGAGCTGACTTCACCCTTTGGCTCAGAAGCCAATCAGATGGTAGAGGCTTCTCAGTAAAACCCAAAGCCACGCTGGCCAGCGTTCTGCCGTAGCACGTGCCCAGAGCGAAACCTCACAGGTGAGGTAGAGAAAGCGGAGGCTGATTTGGCTACAATTTACTGTATTCTCTCAAACGAACTAAATCCTTCCTTAGAGAACCAAATTAAGGATTTTTTTCCCCTTAAGTAAAAGCACAAATTTATTGTAAAGTATACTGTCTTCGTTTCAAATGACTTAAAATTGAAAGGCAGTGATCAGTAATACTGCTGAGAGTAAGAAAAGACAGAAAGATTAATTCTCCACGCTTCCAGTGAACCAGGAAACATTTTCGCTGAAAATATTGAGCAGGGGTACGTTTTTAGTGGCAGATTCGGTATCTGTGTTGTGTGTGGATATGACTGCATGCACGCGCACATACACACACACACACACACACACACACACACACACACATTGCCGGCCTCACGTGCCACAAGGTCACAGATTTGGAAAAGACCTCAGGAATGCACCCCAATATCAGGCCCACCTGTTGGGCTCAGGAATCTCACAAATAAATGAGAATATGCCTTTCCTTAAAAGATCCCCAAAACACCCCTTTTCACACGGAGATATTCTGCGTTCTCTTGGCGACTTGGATCTTTAGCTCTGTGTTAACTTGCATCACTTCTGTGTCTTCTGCAGACCTGGAAACCAGCTGTCTCATAACACTTCCTGGGTAACAGCTATTTTTTCGTTGTTTTTCACGTTTCTCTGAGCTGCACAAGCCCATATGTATGGCCCGGATGTGTCTATTCTCCTATTAAATTAGGAGCCCCAGGACCCAGTGTTGATTGAGAGGTTAAATTATTTATCTAGACATTTGTAATAACAATGCCACTGCTGAGAGTTTTCGGAAATGAATGAAATTTTATAAACAACACCTTCTGTGATGCAGCGTTAAAATGCACAGAGCTGGGAATTCTGTGAGAGGACAGACTTGCCCAGGGGCACACAGACAACGATGACCCAGGAGCCGGACTTCTAACATCTTCTGCCTGGTGCTCTTTGCATTGGATCCTGATGTTTATCTCAGTAGTAAAATCAGATACTGAAACGGAGGAACTGGCTTTGGCCATCACGAGAGTTAAATTTTTTATGAAACTCTGTTAAAAGAACAGTCAGTGCGAAACATCTGTAGAGAAGGTAAATCAAAATGAAATAGTAAAAGGAAACCCAGAAAAACAAGATTCAGTTTTAGGGAGTACGAACGTGACTTACTTCCGAGGTGGTCCTTTCACGACTCAACAAGTGACAGTGGATGTGGCAGTCCTACTGATGTAAGTTAAATGCTCTTCTGCTCATGCTCTAAGTCACTTAAGACACTCTGAAGAAAGAGAGAAACAGTCTGGCCGCCAGTTGGGTGGATGGGTGAAGGGGAGAACTCAGAAGTCCTCGGCATCCTAGAGGGAGTGTGTGCAGAACAGGATGTATAGGGATCTCCAGGTGGGTCCTGGCGAGGAGGGGGAGTGGCCAGGTGGGGGGTGGGGGAAGCAGTGAAGTCTTTGTGCAGAGGAAAGAGGGCTGGTAGGTGCTCTTCTTAGAGGAGACTCAGGACTCGGGACACTGAGTCTCATCGCCGGAGAGAACAGGGTCACAAAGAAGCAGTGACTAGCTTGGAGCCATAATCTGTCGCGCTTGGGCGTCTATGGGCATTTCCCATCTCCTGAGATGCAAGTTACGTGATGTATTAAAACAAGTCGGGGGTACCTAGGTGGCTCCGTTGGTTATGCCTCTGACTGCGACTCAGGTCATGAGCTTGCGGTCCATGAGTTCGAGCCCCGCGTTGGGCTGTGTGCTGACAACTCAGAGCCTGGAGCCTGTTTCGGATTCTGTGTCTCCTTCTCTCTCTGC